TCACTTTGGTAGTGCAATTCTCGGAGGGCACCTCCGGGGAGTGGACGTAGGTCAAGTTGACTGAACCACTATAAACCCTTGTGTTCTTTTTACTACTTCCGCACTTTAATTTTTCGCACTTGTTTTTCCATGGTGACTTTGGTTTGTGATATTTGTTCTTTTGCTTAAAGAATTTTTTTAAATACCAATTCACCCCCCCCCCCTCTTGGTTAGCCTCGGGCTAGTTCTTAAGGGCCTAACATCCCTAATAAACTTTCACAAGCAAGGTGGAGAAGCCCTTACAAAAACTTTCCACCGACTTGATAAGGCAGAGTACCTTGAATCCTTTTACTCCCTCTTGGAGTAGATAGAGAACCTAGAAATCCTTTTATTCCCTCGTGGAGTAAGAAGAGAACCTTGGAATCCTTTTACTCCTTATTGGAGTAGGCAGAGAACCTTGGAATTCTTTTTCACCCTCTTAGTGAAGGTAGAGAATCTGGGTTTGATGTTGATTAAAGTCTCCCTAAAGCAACCAATAAACTAAGAAAGAAGCTTGAAGAAGATGGTAGAAACTTTATTTAGAGAAACTTTTGTGAATCCCTTACAACTCCTCTCATAAGGATCTTTCTCTCTCTTGTCTCCCAAAGCTCTCCTTCTCTTTCCTCTCTAAGATCTTTCTTAAGATAATTCAACAACAAAGATTTCTCCCAAAGACAAATATAATTGCTTAAGTAGCGAGCCTTCAAAAAAGCCCTAATTTTTAATATGGCGATACTAATAGTTCGGTATGTGAAAGTCTGTATAAGTTGTTAGACCTAAAACAATTGTCCCAAGACTAACCAAGATGGGGGTGAATTAGTAATTTAAAAAACCTCTTGGAAATTTTATAAAAAACCATTCTTAGAATTTTAAGCATAATAAAAGTTTTGTCAAACTAAAATTTTCAACCATAATAGTAAAATGTGCAAAAAATAAAAATGTTGTATAATAAAAATATTGAAATTTATAGTGGTTCGGTCCAACAAGACCTACATCCACTCTATGAAGACTCCCTCTTCAGGTATTGTACTACTACCAAAGTGACTCTCCTTTTACTCCCACAGTAAGGTGGAGAAGACTTTACAAATTACCTCTCTACTACAAATTCCCAGTGCGATAGAGTATCGTTATCCTTTCACACTCACCAAGTGTCGGTAGATAACCATTGTCCTTTCACATCCTTCTTGTTTTATTAGCAAACCGTCAACCTTTGACACACCCTCCTGGTATAGGCAGAGAACCGTCATCCTTTCACACCCTCCTGGTGTCAACAGAGTTTCAAATATTCTCCAAAAATTTTCTCTCGAGCAACTTCAAAGAAGTAAGGAAGAGATTCAACAACACTTATAAAGAGACATCACTTTTGAGAAACATTGTGAACCCTTCTTAATTTCCACTTACAAGATCTCTTTCCACACTCTCAGATCCTCTTCCAAAGCACTCTCATAGTTGCTCTCAAAGAAAAAAATAAACAAGCATTTGCCGACAATTAGTTTTTAGGACCTTATATATGAAAAACATAAAAAACTATCCAGAAAGCTAAAAATTTCTTTTGGACCATCCATGATCATAGAGAAAGAGAGGGCGAGAGAGAGAGAGAGAGAGAGAGAGAAAGAGAGAGAGAGAGAGAGAGAGAGAGAGAGAGAGAGAGATAGGGAGAGAGAGAGAGAGAGGGAGGGAGAGAGAGAGTAGGAGAGAGAGTGTATGTGAGAGAGAGAGGGAGAGAGAGAGAAAGAGAGAGAGAGCAGGAAAGAGAATGAGAGAGAGAGAGAGAGAAAGCAAGAGAGGGAGAGAGAGAGAGAGAGAGTAGGAGAGAAAGAGAAAGAGAGCAAGAGAGAGAGAGCAGGAGAGATAAAGAGAGAGGAGAGCAGGAGAGAGAGAAAGGCAGAGAGAGCAGGAGAGAGAGAAGTAGAGAGAGAGGGAGGGAGAGAGAGAGGGCGAGAGAGGGAGGGAGAGAGAGAGAGATAGAGAAAGAGAGAGAGAGAGCAAGAGAGGCAGAGAGAGAGAGGGTGAGAGTGAGAGAGAGAGAGATGAACTTTTTTTGAGCTGAACTTTAAGAGAGAGGGAGAGAGAGGCAGAAAGAGAGAGAGAGAGAGGGAGAGAGAGAGAGAGAGGGAGAGGGAGAGAGAGGGAGAGAGAGAGCTAAATTTTAAAGAGAGAAAAAAAAGTGAGAGAGAGGAGAGAGGATAGAGAGAGAGAAGGAGAGAGGGAGAGAGAGAGGAATAAGAAAGAGAGAGAGAGGAGAGAGAGAGGAATAAGAGAAAGATATTGAGGAATAAGAGAGAGAACATGAGAGAGAGAGAGAGAGAGATAAAGAGAGAGAGAAAGAAAGAGAGAGAGCAGGAGAGAGAGAGAGAGAGAGAGAGAGAGAGTAGGGTAGAGAGAGATGAACTTTTGCATTTGCATTCATCAAAAACCAATTACAACCAGGAAAAATATAAGGAAGGCTAAAAGGCCCCTAAGCAGAGGCAGAAAAATTACTATCACCCTTAAGAATGTTCAAAAAAATCTTGAGGAATATATATATTGTGATGCCCCAAGATCAACTTGGAAAGAATGTCAATCAATTACTCAAAATAATTTACCAGAGTTATCTAAAACCTTCAATTAACCAGTCTATCAAACATCTATAAAATTTAAAACATCAATATATAAGTCGATTCATATCTCAAAAAGTCATGTACAA